TAACATCCCTGTGATTCATCCGTGTCTTCAGCTTCCAACTGTGTCCCCTTGTTACTGTGTCCAATCTCTGGAACATCCTGTCTTTGTCCACCTTGTCAATTCCTCTCAGTATTTTGTATGTCGTTATCATGTCCCCCCTATCTCTCCTGTCCTTCAGTGTCGTCAGGTTGATTTCCCTTAACCTCTCCTCGTAGGACATACCTCTTAGCTCTGGGACTAGTCTTGTTGCAAACCTTTGCACTTTCTCTAGTTTCTTTACGTGCTTGGCTAGGTGTGGGTTCCAAACTGGTGCCGCATACTCCAATATGGGCCTAACGTACACGGTGTACAGGGTCCTGTATGATTCCTTATTAAGATGTCGGAATGCTGTTCTGAGGTTTGCTAGGCGCCCATATGCTGCAGCAGTTATTTGGTTGATGTGCGCTTCAGGAGATGTGCCTGGTGTTATACTCACCCCAAGATCTTTTTCCTTGAGTGAGGTTTGTAGTCTCTGGCCCCCTAGACTGTACTCCGTCTGCGGTCTTCTTTGCCCTTCCCCAATCTTCATGACTTTGCACTTGGTGGGATTGAACTCCAGGAGCCAATTGCTGGACCAGGTCTTCAGCCTGTCCAGATCCTTTTGTAGTTCTGCCTGGTCTTCGATCGAGTGAATTCTTCTCATCAACTTCACGTCATCTGCAAACAGGGACACCTCAGAGTCTATTCCTTCCGTCATGTCGTTCACAAATACGAGAAACAGCACTGGTCCTAGGACTGACCCCTGTGGGACCCCGCTGGTCACAGGTGCCCACTCTGACACCTCGCCACGTACCATGACTCGCTGCTGTCTTCCTGACAAGTATTCCCTGATCCATTGTAGTGCCTTCCCTGTTATCCCTGCTTGGTCCTCCAGTTTTTGCACCAATCTCTTGTGTGGAACTGTGTCAAACGCCTTCTTGCAGTCCAAGAAAATGGGACCACAGGTGTGAGGCACCAAAAGTGTGAGGCACCACAAATGAGAGGTACCACAGGCGAGAGGGCCCACAGGCGTGAGGGACCAGAGGTGAAAGGGACCACAGGTGTGAGGGACCACAAGTGTGAGGGACAACAGGAGTGAGGGACAACAGGAGTGAGGGACAACAGGTGTGAAAGACCACAGGTAAGAGGTACCACAGATGAGAGATACCCCAGGTGTTCCGTGCCCAAAGTGTGAGGTACCCCAGGTGTGAGGGACCAAAGGTGTGAGGAACCACATGTGTGAGGTACCACAGGTGAGAGGCACTACAGGTGAAAGGTACAACAGGTGTGAGGGACCACAGGTGTGACGTACCAGAGGTGAGACGTACCACAGGTATGAGTGACAAAAGGTGTGAGGTACCACAGGTGTGAGGCACCTCAAATGAGAGGTACCACAGGTGAGAATGACCACAGGTAAGAGGGGACAACAGGTGAGAGGAACCACAGGGGTGAGGTACCACAGGTGTGAGGGATCACAGTGTTGAGGCATCACAGGTGTGAGGCACCACAGGTGTGAGGGACCACAGGAGAAAGGGACCAAAGGTGTGAAAGATCACAGGTGAGAGGTACCAAAGGAGTGAGGGACCAAAGGCTTGAGGTACCACAGGTGTGAGGCACCACAGGTGTGAGGCACCAAAGGTGTGAGGTACCACAAGTGTGGAGGGCCACGGGTGAGAGGGTCCACAGGAGAGATGGTCCACAAGTGTGAGGGACCAAAGGTGTGAGATACCACATGTGTCAGGGACCACAGGTGTGAGGCACCACAGGTGAGTGGGACCACAGGTGTGAGGGGCCGCAGGTGAGAGGTACCACAGGTGTTAGGTACCAAAGTTGTGAGGGACCACAGGTGTGAGAGACCACAGGTGAAAGGCGCCACAAGTGTGAGGGACCACAGGTCTCTAGGATCATAGGTGTGAGGCACCACAGGTGACAGTAACCACAGGTGTGAGGCACGACAGGTGTGAAGTGCCACAGTTATGAGGGATCATAGGTGTGACAGACCACAGGTGAGGTAATACAGGTGTGGTGGACCACAGTAGTGAGGGACCTCAGGTGTGAGGGAACACAGCTGTGAGGGACCACAAGTGTGAGGGACGACAGGTGTTAGGCGCCAAAAGTGTGTGGCACCACAAATGAGAGGTACCACAGGCGTGAGGGAGCAGAGATGAAATGGACCACAGGTGTGAGGGACCACAGGTGTGAGGGACAACTGGAGTGAGAGACAACAGGTGTGAAGGACCACAGGTGTGAGGGACCACAGGTGAGAGATACCCCAGGTGTCAGGTATTCAAAGTGTGAGGCACCCCAGGTGTAAGGGACCAAAGGTGTGAGGAACCACATGTGTGAGGTACCACAGGTGAGAGGTACCCCACGAATGAGGTAACAAGATATCAAGTACCAAAGGTGTGAGGTACCACAGGTGAGAAGTACAACAGGTGTGAGGTACCACAGGTGTGAGGTACTACAGGTGAAAGGTACAACAGGTGTGAGGGACCACAGGTGTGACGTACCAGAGGTGAGACGTACCACAGGTATGAGTGACAAAAGGTGTGAGGTACCACAGGTGTGAGGCAACAGAGGTGAGAGGGACCACACATATGAGGGACCAAAGGCATGAGGGACCACAGGTGTGAGGCCCCACAGGTGAAGTACCACAGGTGTGAGGTACCACAGATGTTAGGCACCACAAATGAGAGGTACCACAGGTGTGAGTGACAACAGGTGAGAGGGGACAACAGGTGAGAGGAACAACAGGGGTGAGGTACCACAGGTGTGAGGGATCACAGTGTTCAGGCACCACAGGTGTGAGGTGCCACAGGTGTGAGGGATCACAGAAGAAAGGGACCAAAGGTGTGAAAGATCACAGGTGAGAGGTACCAAAGGAGTGAGGGACCAAAGGTGTGAGGTACCACAGGTGTGAGGTACCAAAGATGTGAGGGACCACAGGTGTGAGGTGCAGCAAGTGTGAGGCACCACAGGTGTGAGGCACCACAGGTGTGAGGTACCACAGGATTGGAGAGCCACAGGTGATAGGGACCACATGTGTGAGGGACCAAAGGTCTGAGATACCATAGGTGTCAGGAATCAGAGGTGTGAGGCACCACAGGTGAGAGGGACCACAGGTGTGAGGGACCGCAGGTGAGAGGTACCACAGGTGTGAGGTACCAAAGTTGTGAGGAACCACAGGTGTGAGGGACCGCAGGTGAGAGGCACCACAGGTGTGAGGGACCACAGGTGTCTAGGATCATAGATGTGAGGCACCACAGGTGACAGTAACCACAGGTGTGAGGTACGACAGGTGTGAAGTGCCACAGGTGCGAGGGACCACAAGTGTGAAGGACCACAGTTATGAGGGACCACAGGTGTGAGGGACCACAGGTGAGAAGGACCACAGGTGAGAGGTACCACAAGTGAAGTAATACAGGTGTGATGGACCACAGTTGTGAGAGACCTCAAGGGGAGAACAAGTGTGAAGGACCGTAGGCGTGAGGGACCACAAGTGTGAGGGACCACAGATGTTAGGGAAAACAGGTGTGAGGCACCACAGATGAGTGACCATAGGTGTGAGGGACCACAAGTGAGAGGTACCACAGGCGTGAGGGACCATAGATGTGAGTGACCACAGGTGTGAAGGGATCATAGGTGTGAGGGACCACAGTTGTGAGGCACCACAGTTGTGAGGCATCCCTGGTTTGAGTTACCACATGTGAGACGGACCACATGTGTGAAGGACCACAGGTGTGAGGAACCACAGAACCACAGGTGTGAGGGACCACAGGTGTAGGTGTGAGGAGTCACAGGTGAGAGGTACCACAGGTGAGAGAGACCACAGGTGAGAGAGACCACAGGAGAGAGAAACCACAGGTGAGAGGGACCACAGGTGAGAGGGACCACAGGTGAGAGGGACTACAGGTGAGAGGGACCACAGGTGTGAGGGACCACAGGTGTGAGGAGTCACAGGTGAGAGGTACCACAGGTGAGAGGGACCACAGGTGTGAGGAGTCACAGGTGAGGGGTACCATAGGTGAGAGAGATCACAGGTGAAAGAAAAAGGGTCACAGGTGAGGGGGTACCAAAAGGTGAGAGGACCACAGGTTGAAAGAGACCACAGGTAAAAAGGACTCCCAGTGAGGGGGACCAAAGGTGTGAGGGACCACAAGTGTTAGGGACCATAGGAATGAGGGACCACAGTTGTCAGGAGTCACAGGTGAGAGGTACCATAGATGAGAGAGACCACAGGTGAGAGAGACCACAGGTGAGAGAGACCACAGGTGTGAGGGACCACAGGTGTGAGGGACCACAGGTGTGAGGAGTCACAGGTGAGGGGTACCATAGGTGAGAGAGATCACAGGTGAGAGAGACCACAGGCGAAAGGGACCACAAGTGAGAGGGACCAAAGGTGTGAGGGACCACAAGTGTGAGGGACCATAGGCGTGAGGGACCACAGGTGTGAGGAGTCACAGGTGAGAGGGACCACAGGTGAGAGGGACCACAGGTGTGAGGAGCCACAATTGAGAGGTACCATAGGTAAGAGAGACCACAGGTGAGAGGGACCACAGGTGTGAGGAACCACAGGTGTGAGGGACCACAGGTGTTAGGAGAATTTCACTTCATTGTATGTAAGAAATATCCTTAACTGTTAAAAAAAAAAAACCTTCTCAGTTTCAAATTGTTTCGTGTAACTTTATTATGCATCATTTTAAGTACCAATAAATAATTTTACAGCATAGTTTCTTCACCATCTGGGTAGTTGCTCAGAGCAGTGTGAGCCATGATACAACGAATATACATAGCTGACATCAATCTCATTCTATAATAGTAAGCCTATGGTTATCAAGAACATTTCGGGCTACTTAAGTTAATATTGTCCCTTAGGACGCCCAATGTTTCCATCCGTACCGAGGATCGAACTAAAGACACACAATGTGTGGGCTGAGTGTGCTACCAACCGAGCTACGGGACACAGTTGATTCCAGTATAAGAAGAGTAAATAAAGCGCTTGCCTGTATGGACTTGTGAAGGGTCGCACAGGCCTGGGCAAGATGTAGCATTTTGGGAAGAGGCAGAAAGTGGGTCTTCCTGGTGAAGCAGAAGGAAGAATTTGTCACCCGAGAGCCTCTCCACCAGCAGACTTCGCGGAAACTGCCTCTGCTTGAGAATCTCCTGAGACGATCCTGTTTCTCCTAACTGTAGATAAAAGATATTTTGACTTTATTATATATACAATTCTGGATAACAGAGAAATATGGATGTAGCATGGACAATACACTCACACTGGTCCTTTACAACCTTTCAATTTAACATTTTGAAAGTACGGTGCCCAGTGGCCTGGTGGCAAAAGCTCTCGCTTCACACGCCTTGAAGCCAAACATGAGGCCTTAAGCTGTATTGATAACTTAGTCACACAGCACACACTCTCGCAAATTATTTACGCTGATGGTTCTGTTCACCAATCCACTGGTGCAGCTGGTAGTGCTGCTGTTGTCGTACAGAGTGATGGCTCTCTTAAAGAAATTGGAGCACGCATCAATAATTGGGCCTCTACCCTTCAGACAGAACTGTTTGCCATACTCCTTGCACTGAAATGCATCTATGTATCAAAGATTGACAGTTTAATTGTAACTGATTCTCTGTCATCCATAAATGCTCTCAACTCATTAAGCATAAATTGTGGCATGCTTGTGTCAGAAGCCAGACACAGGTATGGTAGGATTGTGGACAGTGGAGTCAGAGTGCACATGCTGTGGATTCCATCTCACATTGGTCTTCAGATGCATGATAGAACTGATAAATTGGCTAAACTGTATGCTTTCAAAGAGGGAGTAGATTACAATCTTGGCTTGTCAGGTAGTAGTTTGAGAACAATAATACGAAAAGAACTTCAACTGAATTTTTATGGACTTATGGCTCAGGGAGATTGACACCAGTGAGTCCATCTATCATCATTCTATCATGCAGGAGGAGCCACATGTCTATGGTGCATCCAACAAAATAAGCAGACTCTTGGATGTCACTACCGCCGGCTCCGGCTGGGTTACAAGTATCTTTGGCAGGTTAAATCACCACCACCAGATGTAGACCAAACGAAATGTAAACTTTGCCAGATGGATTATTGTCACACCCTGCGTCATTATGTACTGCAGTGCGATAAAATTAATGAATTTAGAAACAACTCACTCAGAAGTGTTCAAGAAATGGCTAAGTATTTTATCCACAGTGGTATATTACAGACCATTCTGGAGAAATACCCTGACTTTGCTAGCTGTAAATAAAGCATTACCACATGTGTGCATGTGTGTGTGTGTGTATGTGTGTGTGTGTGTGTGTGTGCACTCACCTAGTTGAGATTGCAGGGGTCGAGTCCAAGCTCCTGTGTGTGTGTGTGTGTGTTTGTGTGTGTGTGTTTGTGTGTGCGTGTGTATGTGTATTGGAGCGTGTGTGTGTGTGTGTGTGTGTGTGTGTGTGTGTGTGTGTGTGTGTGTGTATGTGTGTGTGTGTGTAGTGTTGTGTGTGTGTGTGTGTGTGTGTATGAGTGCGTGTGTGTTGTGTATTGGTTTGTGTTATGTGTGTGTGTGTGTTGTGTGTGTGTGTGGTGTGTGTGTGTGTGTGTGTGTGTGTGGTGTGTGTGTGTGTGTGTGTGTGTGTGTGTTGTGTGTGTGTGTGTGTGGTGTGTGTGTGTGTGTGTGTGTGTGTGTGTGTGTGTGTGTGTGTGTGACTCAACAATCAACATTTGCACCAATAACTCACTACAGTTGTGACCGGGTGTGGAAGTGTGAATTGCTCATTACTCTAAAATTTGTTCATGATTGTAGCCATGTATAAACGTAAGTAACCATTCTTACAGTATTCATTACCTTTGTAACTTGTGAGTTCATTACCTTTGTACCTAGTTCAGCTATCAAAACTTTGGGGCCCAGTCCCTGGACCCATTATGTACCTCTGTAATCTGTAAATACCTTTGTAACTTGTCATGATAGTGACTAGACCTACGTAAAGTAAAAGGACACAAATGCAACTAATGTGACATTTTATTGAGGCAACGTTTCGCTCTCCAGGAGCTTTATCAAGCCATTACAAACAATACATGGACACAGGGTAAATAAAGGCTCAGAGTGAGGTGCAATACTAGTGAGGTACCATTTCGATGTTCACTAGTGGTAGCAGTAGTGGTAGTAGTAGTAGTAGTAGTAGTAGTAGTAGTAGTAGTAGTAGTAGTAGTAGTAGTAGTAGTAGTGACAAAAGTAATACAATATGGTAGAGCAATTAATTCGTACATGAGTAAAAGGATATAAAAGCTATTACTTTTGGTAACATAAAATAGTTGGACAAATATAGACTGGAAAAAGGCAGCTTGTTTCAGTGTTCACTCTCTGTAATGTGCTTTTGTGTAGTTAACAGGAGAGACTATGTGATGGCAGGGTTTACTGTTTCAGGAGGATTCTTGCTAAGACTTCGGAGATTGTGAAACTGCCGTTGTTTTGTTTAATTTTATTGACAACAGCGATCAGTGCTGATTCGAGGCACTTGCGTCTATGGAAATTAGTTTCTTTGATCACTAATTGGGCGTCTCTGAATTTCATGAGATGATTGGTGGAATTTCGGTGTTGTACACAGGCGTTGTTCAAGTTATCGTTCCTACATGCGTAAATGTGTTCATTGAGGCGGGTGTCGAGGTTTCTTGCTGTTTCACCTACGTAAATCTTGTCACAGCCTCCACAGGGTATAGTGTAAACTCCTGCATTGACTGGTTCGTGGTGCTTGGATTTTGTCCTTGTTAGATCCTTGATTGAAGTGCTAGAAGCGATGGCGACTCTGGTGTTAGCTAGTGAAAGTACTTTTGAGACGTTCAATGCAACCTGGCTTTTGGGAAGAATTATAACTTTGTTGGGAGTGGTGTTGATGCGTGGATGCGTGGGAGGATGTAGGGGTTTGAGAGATCCCGCGCGCGGAGCAAAAAAAAAAATCGAAAATATATGAAAACTGAGTTATTGTTACCAAAAAATAGCTGAACTTTCTGGCTACACGCTGGTATAATTATTATCCTTGTACGATGTTTCTAAAAGGAATTACAGCCATTTATAACAGGCATGGTGACAGCGCTGACGCAACATGTCGCGTAAGAAGCGGTGACTCAGCTTTGTTGACGTTTTTGTTGCGTTTTTCCCCGTGTTATTTTTATCGTTTTCGTACATCTTTATGTCTAATATAATACAAATTCACCATCTGAGATCATGCCAGAGTGGGTGGAGCTAATATGATCAAGTAACCAATCAAGGTTCCCTGGGTTTTATTGCATAAATGGCCGACACCTCCAGCCAACAAAATATTCCATACCCACGCTAATATCAATTATAAGGCTTATTTATCTATCACAATTGATCTATTATGATATAATGCAATATAATAATAGCATATAAACATAAAAAGTACACTCAAAAAAAAATATATAGCATAATATGACGCCCCGAGGAATAAATTTCTAGCGATATTTCCCCTGAAGGTGAAGAGAGGGTCCGCCCTCTCTCATCAGTGATGAGAGAAAACGGATTTACAATGATTAACTGTAATAAACACTCGTAGGCCGTGGAAAAAGTGTAAAATAAAGCGAATTTTTCGGGGAAAAAAATTTTTCCCGGGCAGCGGGGGTGCCGCGCGCTGCGGCCTATATCTCGAAAGTAACTTATTTACCTATTTAGGGGGACTGCATCCTTATTTATGAATGAATTGACTTGATTTTCACAACAAACATGGGAGAATGATTGTTTTACGGGGTAGCATTCGTGTTTCCGAACTATCCAAAATATTTTTAGATTTATGTGGACAACAAGGCCGACATCTTCCAATATATCAAAAAAGTTATGAAACTTTATTTTTTTTTAGCAAGAAGATAAGGTTTATTTTAGAATTCTCAACGACAAGTGATGGAATTAGAGTTGTTCTAGCAGCAGCAAGTGTCAAAACCACTTGTCCGAGTACCACTGACAAACTGTGCCCTGCCAAATGCAATTTTTCGTAGATTTTTTCGTAATTTTGCATATTTCATTTCCTTTTTGGCCGATATGATTGAAACTTCAGCACAGCATACTCGATATAACCTTCTAATAGTACACCAAAAATGAACGTAATCGGTCCATAAAAAAAAGTTCGTTAACATGCGGCCAACATCTCCCCTTAACGATCTGAAGAGCTCTTTTCTTGCAGTCTTTGATGAAAAAAGAAGGAAAATGTAACTCAGTGAATGTTTGGTGAATGTATGTACATTCCTCGTCAAGAAACTCAGGACTACAAATTCGGTATGCTCTTAGGAAAAATCCGATGATGATGCCTCTTTTGGTCTTGGTATCTTGACTGGAATAGAAGTGTGTGCGATCATTTTTATTGGTGGGTTTCCGATAAACTTGAAATCTTAGGTTGTTGTCTACTTTGTGAATGAGGACGTCGAGGAAAGATAGCTTGTCATTGGACTCTTCTTCTAGTGTAAACTGGATCGCCGGTTCAACTGCGTTGAGCCTTGCCTGAAGATCCCGTACATCAAACGTTTGGGAGTTAATTACGAGGACGTCGTCCACGTAACGTAAACCAAGTGACGCTTGAAGGGATGATGTTGGCGAAGTGTTCGGACTCTAGGTGTTCCATGTATAAGTTGGCTAGGACGGCACTGATGGGGGACCCCATTCCCATGCCGTAGGTTTGTTTGTAGAGCTTGTTATTGAAAGAAAAACAGTTGAAATTAACACAGAGTTCAATCAAGTCAACAAAATCTCCGGGAGGTAGAGGAAGATTAAGGTCCTGATTGACTTTACGTCGTAGAACCTCGATGGTTTTTTTGGTAGGTACTTTTGTGAAGAGGGAAGTCACATCTAAACTGCTTAGTTTCTTGTTACGGATGGAGAGGTTACGGATGCGGTTGAGAAGGTCGCCTGAGTGTTTAAGATGAGCGGGGCTGATGGTCCCTGTGTCCATGTATTGTTTGTAATGGCTTAATAAAGCTCCTGGAGAGCGAAACGTTGCCTCAATAAAATGTCACATTAGTTGCATTTGTGTCCTTTTACTTTACATATTGTCGGTAATTCTACCAACTTTATTACGACTAGACCTACCTGGAGTTCATTACCTTTGTAAATTGTGAGTTCATTACCTTTGTAAATTGTGAATTCATTACCTCTGTAACTTGCTCAGCTATCAAA